ATAACAAGCCTATTATTAAATAAACTATTTTACTCAGACAATTAGACTTGTTTGATTTAAAATGTTGTTGTTGTTGTTGATTTGATGAAGATGACGATGACGATGAAGATGATAAATCTCCTCTCTTTCTAGTGTGAAGATTTGAGGAATTAAATGTTGGTAACATTTTTTTCAATCCATCAGTAGTGTGTGACTGTTACTACAACTCAACTAATACATCACAGCAGTAAAAGGATAATAATGAGAACGGACAAATTAAGAAATTTATCTTTAAAAAGGTGAACAAAAGATACTAAAAGCCTTCATTAAATATTTTAATATTTTAAATTAATTTATTGAATTGGGTGTATTTGGAGTACTGTATAATAACATTTGTAAAATATCATCACAACTAATATATGTATCCATTCTTGAATTACTATTTAATAATAAATTATTATTATTATTTAATAAATTATTATTTAATAAATTATTTTTATATCTATTTAATAAATGTTGTAAATCATCAATAAGAGATTGATAATGTTCAACTGGTAATTTATATTTCTTTTTTAATGTATTTAATGCATTTAAATCTTTTTCTATAATTTCATAATAATCAACAGGTCCTCTTATTAAATTTTCATTTCCACTTCCATTTATAGTATTATTATTATTATTAGATAAATGATATAATACATTTAAATTATTTGAATTTAATAAAATATTATTATTATTTAATAAACCAATTAAATGATTACTTCTTAATCCTTGTTCAATTCTTTTAACAATATGATAATGTACTCTACTAGCTAATGCTATATATGAAACAACAAAAACAGGACAAATTTGGAAAGATTCATGTTCTGTTAAATAAGTTATATTTAGAGCTGCATCTTCAACCATTTCATAATCACCATATCCTGCTTTTGTTAATAATGCAATTCTCATACCATTTAAAAATATATTATTAAAGGCTTGTTCATATATTTTAGATTCTTCAAATAATATAATTTCATTATTATTATTATTAGATTTATTATTAGAATTATTATTAGAATTATTATTAGATTTATTACTATTATTAGAATTATTATTATTATTATTATTAGGTTTATTATCTAAATAATTTACCATATATGAATGTACAATTTCAATAATTTTTAATTTTTCAAAACAATTTGTTGAATTTACTTCTTGTTCTAAAGTAGATGCAATTTCATTTGGTAATTTATAATTTGTTACAAATTCAAATAATTTTGGATAATTTTTAGAAATTAAACTTAATCCAAATTCAGAATCTGAAATTAAAATTTCAAATATAAATAATTTTTGATGAAGTATTTTTTCATGTGAATTTAATTCATTTAAATCTTTATCATGAAAATATGACTTGGAGGCATGAAAATAAAATTTTTGTAAATTTCTCTTTCCATTTCCAAATTCATATCCACATAAACATAAATAAGTGTAGGCTATATAAAAATTTGACACTTGATCAAAATATTTAGATAGATATTCTTTACATTTTTGTAATGATTTATCACATGATATTCCTAGCCTTTGTTCAACAAGTAATTTCATTGAATAAAATAAACATGTTACATCTTTGGATTTTTTTAAAAGTAATTGTTCAAAATAATTTTTATCAAATATTTCATCTTTATGTAATGAATAATAATAATCTAATACTTGTTTTTTACTTAATTTATTTGGTATTATTAATTTTTTATTTAAATTTATATTTAAATTATTATTTAAATTATTATTATTTAAATTAGATAAATTATTATTATTTAAATTATTATTATTATTATTTAATAAATTAGTATTACTATTTATATTATTATTAATATAATTGGAAGTATTATTATTTATAGTATTATTATTAATAGTAGTAGAAATATTATTTACAATTTTTTGTTTCTTTTCAGATTTATCAGATCTATGATATCTCATTCTCTTAGGTATTTTATATTCACATGTCATTCCTTTAGTTGAACATCTTTCACATGATGGTAATTTTCTATCTATTTAAAAAAAAAATATTTTAAAAATATTAATTACTATATACATACCGCAAAATTTGTGTACACGTCTACAATTATTACATGATATTGGATGGAATTCATTATTATCATTATTAATAGCACTATTATCAACATTATCTTCATTATTATTATTACTAATTATATCATTCTCAATTTTAATATTATTATTACTATTATTATTATTCAAATTATTATTCAAATTATTATTATTATTAAATAATATTTGAGCATTAATTGATGATGAAAATGTATCACCATTTGTAGTACTATTATTATTGGTATTATTGGTAGTAGTAAAATTAAAACTATCATAAGGTTGATATGAATGTTGTTGTTGTTGTTCTATTATTGTATTACTATTATCATATAATGATGATGAGTGGTGTTGTTGTTGTTGTGAATGAAATGATGATGGTAATTGTAAAGTAGGAAGTGATAATAAACATTCATTTCCATATTGATTATTAATATTATTGAATGGTCTAAAATGTTGTGACACTAATGAGGCTGTTATGGAGGATGAGGATGAGGATGATGATGTTGGAGTGGTGGTAGTTGTTAATGATGGTGGTAGTGAGGGTAGCATTGATTTATTGACCATTTTTTAATGTTGTTGAATTAAAGAATACATGCATGCGCATAATTAGAAAATGAACGACCAAAGAACGTCCTATTTCCATTACAAGAACGGATGTTTGCGATGGTGTCGCATATATAATGGATATTTTATTAGAAATTACAATATCAATTACAAGATTATAGTGTAGGATTAAACAAATCAAACTAAACTCCAAATATATTAGTAAACTATTAGAGTAAATTCAATTTTAAGATATTCCAAAAAGAAAGCTCATATCTTGTTTTGCAATTTTGCCAACAAAATCCATTGTTACAATGAATCATTTTGAAAGAATTCGAGAAATGATATTATTTTTGGAAAAGGATTTTATTACAGTGTAACAATCAGGGTTTGAATTATCTTAATTGCTATAATCGTCATCCCAATGTTACTTCATTGCATTTCCTCTTACAAGATTAGTGGTATCTGAAGAAATAAATTGAATTTGAAGTACCTGATAAGAATAATGTTCAACCTTATTCCAATTGTTAGTGAAAATAGGAACTTAAATTTTACCACTCGATGTTTTAGAAGCATCCAAGAAAGAACCGAAAACAAAATATTTTAAAAGAAAGAGTGTGGTCTTTAGCTTGTGAACACTCTTGCTACCTCCCTTAGTTGTTGGAATCAACAGCTTTTGGAATATCAGAGAAAATTCAGCTCAACAAATTAATTCAATCAAATAAAGAATTTAGAAGAGAACAGACTGAAAATTAATTTTAAATTTATTTGAATTATTAATATAACTATTTCACCAAAGAAATTTTCCTTTTTTCATTTTAAACAAATAATATTTAATTGTTATTCATTTTTATTTTTCAAATTAATATTGAATTTAATTTAACAACACTTCCAATAATTAATGAAATTGCATCTTGTTGATCATTTTCCATTGAATATTGTAAATATTGTAAATGATCATAAATAAATCTTCTCTTTTTTTCAAAAACATTTAATGGAATACTTTTTAAATAATTAATAATTGCCCATGATTGTTCCTTTTCATCTCTAATTTGATGAATTGAATTTGGTATAATAATAGCCATCATTTCCAAATCGAGTGCACCCCTAAAAAGGCTTGAATAACTCATTTCATTAGAATTAAATAAAATAGGAATGGTACCAGTTGTAAGTGATGTATAAAAATGGCGGGAAATCCTCATCTCTCCATCTAAACTTGAAATATGAATTGAGAATTTACAATTAGAATAAAATTCAATTAAATTTCCTAAATTGGAAGCTTGTTCATTGGAAAGTGATGTATAAAATGGTGTTGATAAATATTTTGACATGTATTGAATTGGCCATCTATTTAAATTACCGACATGACATGTAAAAAAAGTTCTATTTTTCATTATTTTGAAATTTTCATAAAAATTTTCAAATTTCGATTTATGAATAATTGACATATATGGAACTGTAATTACTCTTGAAGGTGCCTTTTTAGGAAGGTAATATCCACTACTAGATTGATCTTCTTCATAACAAACAAAATAAAAATTATTTGGTGCAAATTTAAACATTTCTCTCAAGGCTTCTTTTGTATTATATCCCAAATCAGAATAAGCAATTAAATGTGGAATATTTGTGTTTGTAGTTTTAGGTAAAAGTGAATTTGTATATTGAATAATTGTATTTAATGGAATTATATTTCCATTTTTAGTAGCAAATTTTAATAAATGTGAATAAAATGGAATAAATGCTAAATCTGCATCTTGTATATTTGCTACTCTATTTGGATGTGTTAATAATCTATAATGTAAATAGGGTTCAAGTACTTGTTCACTTGTTGAATAAAATTTACTATTTATATTATTTCCAAATGGAGTTATTTTTAATTTAATTTCCTTTCCAATAATTAAATTTTTAATATTTGCAACAATATTTTGTGAAATTGAATCCAAATTTTTATATTTAAAAATTTCATTTTTAGAAATTTGAATTCCATCATTTTCAAATAATTTTATATTAAAATTTGGAAAATCTTCATAAATGTAAATTTTAGAAAGTGATAATAAATCTTGTAAAGTAAACATTTTCTTGTAGGCTGATTTTGTTAGGCTTTTTTCAAAGTCTTCATCTCTTCCCGTCCACACAACTTCATCATGAACATTTTCCAAGCCTACTAGTTTCTTCTCATTCTGTCCATTTCCGTGATGATGTTTAATAAATAGTAGTGTAGAATAGCCTATTATTAAGATACATGAAAATAGCAATATTGAAGTGAGTGGTTTGTTACAGTGTTGTTGAGAATGAGTTAATTTCATACCAGTCAGTGGTTGGTGTTGTTTTTTTGTTTGTTTGTTGTGAAGATGATGAGTGAGTGAGGCTCTGTTTGTACATTAATGTGATGTTTGCGCAATTACAGTGTTTTGTGAAGATTGCCTTAATAGAGACGATGCAGCGTTCTTTACGGAGAACTAATTATGGATGCGTATTGAAGATTCTTCATAAGGATGTGTCTCATTAAGGATATTTAAACTTACATTATTAAAGCCTTGTTGTTGATAGTCCACAAAGCCTTCATGGTTGGTAATAGAATAACATACAATAGTCAAAGTCCAACTTTTAACAAAATAAAACAATCATGTTGTGTTTTAAAGTACATTCATCACTGTTGGATAATAATTTTTATTATTAATATCAGTGTTATTGAATATCATTATCATTTAATGATTCAATTTAAAAGTGTGGATTGAAAGACAATTGTTCCCAAGCACCAACAGCGCTTCTATTGACAACAATTTGACCACTTGGTTCAACACAAACGTAGGTATTGTGAGCAGACTTCAATGCAATATTACCATTTCCGTGCAATTCAACAGTGAATTGTTCCCATGGACCAACAGCATCTCTGTTAGCAACCAACAAACCACTTGGTTCAGCACACATCAATTTACCATGAGCAGATCTGAAAGCATTCTTACCACTATGATGTTCAACATGGAAGTTTTCCCAAGGACCAACAGCACTTCTATTACCAACAACAGAGTGATTAGATTCAGCACACAACAATTGACCATGAGCATGTCTCAAAGCAATAGTTTGATTTGGAGCCAATGAGAAGTGGAATTGTTCCCATGGACCAACAGCATCTCTATTAGCAACAACCAAACCACTTGGTTCAGCACAAACCAATTTACCATGAGCAGATCTGAATGCAACATGTGATCCAGATTGAACCAATGAAAATTGTTCCCATGGTCCAATAGCATCTCTGTTAGCAATGACCAAACCAGATGGTTCAGCACAGACATACTTTCCGTGAGCAGATCTGAAAACATAGTTACCACCATATGGAATCAAAGTTAAAGTTTCCCATGGACCATTGGCATCTCTGTTGGCAACAACTTGTCCGGATGGTTCGATACACAAGAATTTACCGTGAGCAGAACGGAGGTGAGCGTTAATGGCTGGCATTTTGTTGTTTTAGTTGATTTTTTTTGTTGTTGATTTGATCAGGGAATGATAACTCAGAGGGCGATTTTATAGCCTTTGTGAATTTGTGTTACATCAAAATGTCGTTCGAAGGTGACGTAACAATAAGTTTGACATGTTGTGAAAATTTTGAGTACCTTTGTTGGGTTGCAGCGATTAAAGCAATCATTAGGCTTTTGAACTTGGAAAGAGATTCGTATGGGGCACTTCCAAAGTTTCGTCTGATGTACTACAGCAGTACTATCAATTTCTTCTTGAAGATGTTGTTACATACAATGGAAGAAGGCTAATTTGATAGTTCCCTCCTTCACTTTGCATTTACAGTACTTTCCATTGTAATCTTTGACGACTTCGGAATTAGATTCAACACAACAATCTATAATGAGAAATGCAAAGTTCCGTTGGACAGAAGTTGGTGAAGATGATACAAATCATGCATGATGATTCAGCGCCATGATTTGATATATGGCGTTACCTTCTTGTATGACTATGGATTGACTATTGGTTGTTTATCATGAAAGGAAATATTAGCCAATCTCTCATTGTCCACACCTTCGTTTTGATGAACTCAAAGATTGTCAAAATAATTGTAAAATGTGGAGTGGAGTGAATGGATTGGATGGTGAGTGGGTACTTGTGGACAACTGTAAATTTTTACAATGAACTTCAACATTGATTGATTTGTGAGGATGGTTGTATTCAATCTGATTGATCACAAATTTATTGTAAACTTATTGAGTGTTAAATCATGATGAACAATTAACTACAGTGAAACAAGTTGAAGGTAACCTTCAAAAAAAACACAAGTAATCAACCTAGAAGGAATCTCTAAAGATTTTTATATTGGAAATGATTGAATGCGGAGTAGTAAAATGTTATTCGAAACTAGTGTGTGATAAAGGATAAAGTAATAATTGGAATACAAATATATATGCATCCATGATTATTATAAAATAATTGATTCTTTACAGTTATTATTGTAAATTTACAGAATAGATGGAAAATTGTTCTCATGAGAAGCACCACTTTCCTTTTCTGTATGAACAAATTCGACGCGAAAACTTTCAGGATAATATCAAATTCACCTTAATTTTGAAAGCTATATTAAAATGATTACAATGAATGAATTTTAATAATTTTAAAATAATCTTGTTGTAACTTGATACTATTTTACAAACAAATATTGGAATACCTTCTCTAATTGGATGAGTAAACATTATTGTTTTAATTTTCACATTAAATATTTAATTATTGAAATAAATTCAAATGATAATAACCATTTTATCACTTTTTCTGTATTATTTCCATAAATGGACCTGATTGAAAAAAACTGTCAGTGCTCAAAAATAGATTTTAAAAAAAAATGTCATCAACTCTTCATGAAGTACCACTCTTAGATTTCGGATCATCACCAACATCTCCAACAACAACAACATCAATTCTTTCCACCAAACAAAGCCTTTCCAAAAAGAAGGAAATTCAAAGCAAAGTTTTACAAATTGATCAAATTAAAAAGGAATTACTTGAAAAGAGATATAATACTAGAGTTATTATTGATGATTCTTATAAAATTGAAATTAAGGTATATATTTTAAATAGTATAGTATATTTAATGTTTATTGTTGATTTGTAAAAAAGAAATTGATCGGACAATTACATGTTTTGGAAAGTGAATTATCCAAATTAAGAATACAAGAATATAATGAATATATTAATGGTTTAAAATTAAATGAATTATCCAATAATAATAATACTAATAATACTAATAACAGTAATAATCAATTAAAATTAAATAATCATTTAGCAATTGCTAAAATAGATGAATTAACCTATAAAACATTTAAATATGAAAAGAAACAAGCAATTAAGAGATGGAACAAGGCTTTGAATGTAATTAGTGCTGCAAATCAATTTTCACGCGCCTATGAAAATGCAAGAATTAAAAAAGCAGAGGAAATTTTACAAAATCCAATAACATCTCAGTATGTACAAATGTGTGATATTTTATTATTAATCAATTTGTTTTTTTTGTTACAATTCTGATATTATTATGAATAATGAATATGAATATTCAGAATGAAAAATGAAATATTGGAATTGAGAAAGACACTTGTTATTTTAAATAACAAGAAACAATTAACAGAAGAACAAGAAGAATTAAAGGCCAAAGTTGTGGAAGAATTGAAAGAATTAGATAAGAAATATCATGAACAATTTACTGTTTAAATTTCCTATTATATTCATTTAAAACAACATACTTTCTATTAATATTCAATATTAATAGTAAAATAGTATTTTAATATATTTAATAAATGTAAATATCAATATATTAATTTACTTATTAAAATCCCAAGCAAGATTAAATCTATTTGCCTTATTATTTTCAGTTTGGAAAATATTAAAGGCCATCACATAAATATGATCCAATATTGCAAGTCTGTCCTTGGAGAGATTTTCAAACTTATCTGCTTTGAATTGTTGCCATTCATACCAATTGACCTTTGCTGTTGTTGTTTTCAATCCAATTTTAAATAATAAATAACGTGCTAATTTCATTTCACCAACAATGGCACAAATTCTGCATGGAATATTAGTTCCAAGTCTATGTTCGAAACCATCTAAAACCTTATCAACCTTCTTTCTTTCTTGCATTGTCATCTTGTTGAACCATCGTTCAAAGGCATTGTCATCATCATTCAATTTCTTCATGTATTGACCCAATGCATCCACAGATTCAAAATCATTATGATCCAAGTAGAGAGACTTTGGAAATCCCCAATCTTGTCTCAAATTTGGAGCACCTCTATATAATGTAATTACTCTGGCACCATTTTGAAGAGCTCTTACTCCTTCAAAGAATTTCTCAGTAACATAATCTTTGGCAATTGAATTTTCAGCTGCATAATAGAATCGACAATTATTTTCAATTTCAAATGTTTTACCACCTGGTCCTTCTTGTGCATTCTTTCCACATTTACCATATTGTCTCACTGGAATGTATTTTGAGAGTGTATTCAAGAGTTCAAATCTTTGTTTTAAATCAGTGCAACCAGCTTGATCACAATTTGAAATAAAAGCACAAATTCCCTTATTGTTTTTGAATGGTTTAGTTCCAAATTCATTTGATTTGGATAAAGATAATTGCCAATAATGATAATTAACCCAAACAGAACATGTTGAAAGGAAACAAATTGAAATGTCAGCTGTAGAATCTGAAAATCTTTGCATTGATTTGTAATCATTCTTCTTTTGTGTTATTGGACCAACAAGATCATGAACACGAGCTTCACTACACATGATAATTGATAATCTTCTCATTCCTCTCCACATTTGTTCTCCATATAAATAATCCATATGATTAGAATGTGCTAAAACATTAGATACTTCTAATTTGTCAATATTCTTTAAATTATCATCTGATTTTGTAATGAGTGAATGAAAAACATTCAAATTCTTGGATTCTTGTTCATGTGAATTTAAAAAGTAAGGTTCCTTATATTGACAATGTTGCACAACAGCATCCAATTGAGTTCCCTCTTCCAAAAATTCACCTGCAGTTCTATCTGCATAAATTTTACATGTATGTTGTTGTCTACATTCCTGTGTCGTATTAAATGTTCTAAAATAGTAAAATAATAATTCACTAGTGGTAAGAGTATCTTGAAATCCTAATTTAGTCATTATAGGATCATCAAATAAAGTATTACCTAATCTATTATTAGTATCTAATTGTTTTCTATACCATCCATAGGATCCTTCGCTTGTTTGATCTGGATTAGTTAATAATTTAGCAATTTCTTCAAATATTAAATCTTGTTGTTTCTCTTGTTTGTTCTTCTTACGTTTAACAATTGGAGGTGGTGGTACAATTTCCTCCTTCTTTTCATCACCTTCCTCTTTCTTATCTTTTTTAAGGCTTGTTTTAGTATCCTTCTCCGATGCTGATTTAATATTAGTATTTTCATTTCCATCCAATTCTGCAATATTCCTAAAATTTGTTGCAACAGCATTATCAGCATCATCATCCGTAACAATAATTACATTCTCACTCACAACACTAAACAACCAATACAAGGCAATGATGAGCAATAACAAGCCTATTATTAAACAGCCTATTTTCTTGCCTGAACATTTGGACTTTCTGGCGCCAAAATTTGATGATGATGCAGAAGATAAATTATTTTCCAATGGTGATGATGACGAAGATGACGAAGATGAAGGTGATGGAGATGTTACATTATTTCCTCGTCCACGTAAATGCTGATTGGGACGTTCCGATGAGTAGGTGGGTAACATTTTTTTTTTGAAGGCTTCTGGAGTGTCAAGTTCATCTGCATTTTGTATTTATTTTATGTGTGTATTTAATTATCTTTAATACTAACTTTACAATAAAGATTATTGATTGTTATTGGATGCACTTTTCAAATTGCAATTAGAATTGTTTACAAGTTCCAAGTTCATTGGTCAACAAAAGAAAATTCAAAAAATGCAAGCACAACAAACACCACCTTTACAAGTATTACTTCTCTTAGATCAATCATTTCAATCCAATTTACTCTCCACTAAAATCAGAGATATTCCTCATTATTTAAAATACCAAACAATCATAGATCCGATCATCTCCGGAGGCTCCGAACATTTAAAGGAAACCATTAAATTTCTCGATACAAGACGAGATTGGTTTACAATTCTCAAATTTATGAATGAACACAATTCATGTCATAATCCATTCAGCAATGTTTCCATCAGTTCATTGGGATTTAAATATTCATTAGCATATTACCGCCAAAATGCATTCGAAATTGGTGCCCAATTGGGAAAGGAATTGAAATTTGATTCAAATTTTATATTTCAAATAGTTGGAATTAGTCCTGGATTTATTTATAATAATTCTAATGAAGTTATTAGAAATGATAGAGAAGTTGTGTTGAGATCTGTTAAGGGAGTTGGTTCTATGCTTAGTATTGCTTCTGATAGATTGAAAGATGACAGAGAAATAGTAATGGCAGCTGTCAAACAAGATGGTGGAAGTTTAGGATATGCAAATGATAGATTTAAGAGTGATAGAGAAATAGTAATGGCAGCAGCCAAATCAAGTGGTCATGCTCTTAAATTCGTTCATGAATCATTAAGGAATGATAGAGAAATTGTAGAGTTGGCAATTTCACATTGTTGGTCATTTATAGGAAGTGCAGGCGAGGAAATAAAAAACGACAGAGAAATTATAATGAAGGCCATAATGAGAAATGAACAAGGAAGTGCCTTTCAATATGCTAGCAGAGAATTGAAACTAGATAAGAAGTTTGTTTTGGAGGTTGTCAGGAAAAGTAAGGGATTTGCACTTGAATATGCACTTGAAGAATTAATTAAGGATAGGGAATTTCTTGTTGAAATATTGGAAATTCCTGAAAGATCTTCCACGAGTACATTTTATATAGCGAGATTTATTAAGGATGATAGAGATTTGATATTACTAACTGCTAAATATGATGGATTTATAATCAAATATATTAATCCAGAGTTTAAGAAGGATAAGGAGATTGTATTTGAAGCTGTCAGTCAAAATGTCAATGTTTTTCAACATATTGACAAGTCATTAAGGGATGACAAGGAATTTGTGTTGAGATTGGCAAGGAAAAATTCAAAGATTATTCAATTTTTAACCAAATCAATGAAGAAAGATCATGAATTCATGTCTCAAATCAATAAACTAAACTAAACAGTCAACTTTCGGTAAAAATTACAAGAAATTCAAACAGAAAACTTGAAGAGGAATTCAAATAATTGATTTTATTAAATTTATTTATTGAAATTTTTTGTAGGTTTTTAGAGTTGAATTTTGAATGGCAGATTTCAATTTGTTTACAACGCCAGATTTGAACATGATCTTGTTATCTTTCATTAAGAAACCAGTTTTAGGACCAAGTGAAACAGCCATCACACGAGGAGCATTATCATACGTTGCTAAAATACCTTCATTTGAGTTGGGAGACGAAACCTTTAGAATAGATTTGGCAATTTCAACAAATTTCTCAGCATGAATATCTGCATTTTGAATTAGTTTTTCAGTATCAGCATTATTGGCATCTCCCAAAACGAAAATATTGTTAAAATACTCAGAATTAGATTTCCATAATTGGAAGGAAGGATTCACTTTCAGATAATTATTTTCGTCCATGCTTTCTCCAAAGTATTCATTCATCATTTTAGTGTTTGGTGAGATACCTGAGGCAAGGAAGCAAACACAACACTTGATTCTTGTTTCTTCTCCACTTTCCAATGACTTTACAACAAGAATATTCGAATCTTCTTGACGATCAACTTGACAATTAAATTTGACATTTGCATTCTTCATCTTGGCAAATGTATCAGTTGCTGCCTTGTGAGCATCTTTGGATGGTTTCATTAACATGTCAGATCTTTGAATTAAATAACAATTCCTATTTGGGAAAGTTTGAGCTAGTGATCCAAAATATTCACATCCGACACTTCCACCTCCAATTACAACAATATCATGATTGGATTGATTAATGGCAGTGACTGACAACTCGACCATGTCCATGTTATAACCATCAACATATAAAATCTTGTTTTCCTTTTGAGGATTTTCCATTTGTGGAACATTTTTCCAACCATTGCAACCTGTGGCGATGACCAAATAATCAAAGGAAAGGAATTTACAATTTCTTACATCTGTGTTGGAATCTGAATATTCATTTGTCAACATGTGCTTGATTTGTGGCTCTTTTCCAGCAATTTCAATAAAGACACCATCCTGTCTCACTATTTTGGTCAACCCATGAATGAAAGTGACATTTGAAGGGAGAATTTCAGAGTAATTGATAGAAATCTTGTTAACATGATCAACTTTCTCTAGAATTACTGGAAATGCCGGCTTTAAAGTGCAATGTGGATTCTTGTCAATCAAAACAATAGAGAAATAATCATTTAACTGACAAGCTGTCAATACTCCAGAATGTCCACCTCCAATGATAACCAATCTTGGCATGTATGGATGTAAGAAACGAACCAATCTCTTTCTATCATCAGATAATCTAGTGGAATTCTTATTTTGACAATCAAATTCAATCATATTCAATTGAACCATCAATTGACCAATGTAATCTGCCAACTTGTCACTTGTGGAAGTTTCCAACAAGACTTTACAAATGCAATCAATCAAATTTTGTGCAGTGAAAGAAGAAACCAACATCTTATTAAATAAAGGACCTTTCTTTTGATGAGTGACGGTTAAAATCTTATGAAGTTGCTTAATTAAGCAATTAAGAGCATAACTTATTTGATCGGTAACATTAGTTTGTCCATTCTTATAAGCATTCATCAAGATTTCCTTCCAAGATGATGAAGGTGTTGAAGAAGAAGAAGCAGCAGCAACATTAATAAATGATGTTTCGATAGTAGTATTCATTTTGCTAGTTTTCAAATCGGCTTGTTTTTTTCAATATTTGTTTGAGAGTTTTTGTCTACTGAAAGTTCATGGCATTTTACAGCCTTGCTTAATAGATGAGATGAATAGGATTTGTGAGTACGCACAAATGTGAAAATAAAGGTTGCGCTTGAGAAGTGTTGGTTAATTTCAGCTCAGTGGCTTGAGTGCGCACTCTCACGATTGTTTAATGTGCATTTGTTGAGGGTTTTATTTTGATGATTCGGAATATTGACCAAATAAGGGATTTATAAATGTGGCTTAATATTGTTAATACTTTACAATACAGTTTAATAAGAGATGCAAAGATGAGAATTGTCGCTTGTAGTGAATGGAGTAATTGGACTTATTGACTGAACAAACTGTAAAACTCTTTAATATTTCATACATTGTAATTGTAACCATGATAATAAAAATTAACATTCATTGATAATTTTGTATTATCCAACGATGATACCAAATTGAAGCTGCCTTCCATATACGAACGTTGTAAAAGAGTAGTTCGTTTGGCGGGAAATCAATCGAGTCAACTTGTCATTTCACTTCAAAAATCGTAGTACAATTAACGAATCTGCATGACACGAGTGCTATTTCTCTCTACTAGAAAGTTCTCATTCATCATCCAAAAAAAAACATACAAAATGAATAGTGGCAAGTGGGTTATTCTCTCCTTGTTGTTGCTCGCATTGTTGGCATGTTGCGTTTCTTTCGCATCTGCTGAACAAGCCGAAACTCAAGCCGTCAAATCATCATCAATTGTAAAGAAGACTTCAACTACCAACAAGAAGGCTACAAAGCCAAAGAAGACTTGGAAGAAGGCTAAGAAATCAAAGAAATGTGCTAAACTTGCCAAGAGAGTCAAGAAACTCAGATCAAAGGTTCGCAAATTGAAACTCAAATTAAAGAAGAAATGTAAAAAGTCAAAGAAGTCTGCCAAGAAATCAAAGAAGGCTAAGAGAGTTAGAAAGTTGAAGAGATGTGCCAAGAAGGCTAAATCTTTGAAGAAGAGAAAGGCATGCAAGAGGGCTTTGAAAAGAGTCAGAAAACTCAGAAAATTGAGAAGATGTGCCAAGAAATCAAAGAATTTGAAGAAGAGAAAGGCTTGCAAGAAGGCATTGAAGAAACTCAGAAAGCTCAGAAAATTGAGAAGATGTGCCAAGAAATCAAAGAATTTGAAGAAGAAGAAGGCTTGTAAGAAGGCATTGAAGAGAATTAGAAAGCTCAGAAAGTTGAAGAGATGCGCAAAGAAGGCTAAATCCTTGAAGAAGAGAAATGCCTGTAAGAAAGCATTGAAGAAACTCAGAAAACTCAGAAAGTTGAGAAGATGTGCCAAGAAGGCCAAGAACTTGACCAAGAGAAACGCTTGCAAGAATGCTTTGAAGAAGCTCAAGAAGGCCAAGAAAGCTAAAAAGTCTGCCAAGAAGGTTGCTGCTAAGAAGGTTGCCAAGAAGGCCAATTAAAATGTACATAATTGAAAAACATTAAATCAATTTAATTGTCTCAATATTTTCCATTAATTAATTTTGTTGATCAAATTGATTTGTTTAAAAAATCTTGCAAATTATCTCACTTTGAGAAATTACCAAAATTGCACTCACACCACTTTAAAGGAACTCTTGCAAGTTCATTTGTCCAATCATTTGTTCCATCAGTGACAGCTTCTTCCTTCCCGTGTCCAAACATCCATCAAAAAAATACAACAACAAAATGAATAGTAGTGGCAAGTGGTTAATTCTTTCATTGTTATTATTATCATTGTTATTGTGCGTTTCTTTCGCAGCTGCACAACAAGCTGAAACTCAATCTGTCCAAACAACAGCAACAGCCAGAAAATCTTCTTCTAGTAAGAAATCAAGCAGCAAGAAATCAACAAGTAGCACAACCAAGAAATCTGGTAAGAAATCTGGTAAGAAGACCAATTCTTCTGCTAAGAAATCATCAAAGAAGAAAACAACTCCAAAGAAGAAGAATTCTTCTACCAAGAAGACAAGTAAGAAGAAGGCTAAAAAGTCAAAGAAGGCTTCGAAATGTGCCAAACTCAGAAGATCACTCAGAAAGACTATTCTTGCTGTGAAGAAACTCAAGAAGACAGCCACCACTAGTAATGCTGCTGCTAAAAAGAATGCTTTGAAGAATATTAAGAAGCTCAGAGCCAAAATTGTCAAGTTGAAGGCTTCACTGAAGAAATTGAAATGTAAGACTAAAAAGATTGCCAAGAAATAAATTGCTTTCTAGTCTAATTAACTCTCACCTTTCCTCTGTAAGATTAAATTTCAATCAAGTAATAATGATACTTTTAATACTATGAAACTATGTTTACAATTTCAAGTTGATTTGAGCTCTCACATTTTCCCAATAACTTTCAATCACAGTACATAAATAGGGATGGGAAGGATCATTCCTTCTCAAATGTTCAACCAAAATTGAGTGAACTCTTGCAAGGTGATGATATGGAATTGTGGGAAATACATGATGTAAGCCATGATAAAGTGTTCCAACAGGAAACCAAAAGAAACAAATCCAAGAATCACTTGCATAGTTGACCGAATCCAAAATCATTTGTTTTCTAGAGAGTGGTGGTTGATGTGGTTCAGCAAAGTATCTGTGAGCAGCCATTGCTCTGTACATGTTCACAACAAGCAAAAAGTAAACAATGATAAGAGTTGTTCTCATAAAACTCAAACCATCTTCAATAAATCCAAAGTAAATAGCAATAAATTGACAAGTTGTTGCACATGCACATCCAAAGTCTTGCACATACCACTCCTTCTTATCTTGTTCAGTTGGGAGACCTCTGTCAAAGAATGGATTCATGGCCAATGTGGATGCATATCTCCAAATGAACTCTCTTCCCTTACTTCCAATGAATGGTAGAAGGAATGGAACTAGATTAAAACGTAAACATGTAAATACTGCAACAGGAAATTGAAAAATCACTGGAACCAATAGGTAATGAAACCATATTGAACCACTACTGATGCTCTGATATTCTGGATCGTTAGCTTGACCATAGACTTTTGGATCATGATGTGTCAGATGTGGTTTGTAGCAATAGAGAGGAACCTTGTTAGGGAATCCATTCACAAGGTTGTAATACTTTACAAAATTGGGCAAATTTTGAGATTGATGAACAGATTCATGAATGAACAACATGACCCTGTAAAATATGAAGGATGTAATGAATGCCAATACCACTGCCTGATAAATATAACCCTCCTTCATCAATTTATAACATGCATAAAACAACAAATGATACAAAACGAGTGAGAGTGTGAAATCAGAATAGTAAATCAAAGCACTCGGTTGAAAACATTCTTTGGGAATAATTCGCAACAAGGAAGACCTACAAAGATCGCTTGTTAACTTGTCCTTCTCTTGGATGCTGTTATGTTGTTGATGCATCTCTCTGAATGATTCGTTTTTTTTTGAAATCGAATTATATTACCTCTCTCGATTAGTATCAATAAAATTCTTTTGCCGCTCGCATTGAGAGAGTTACATCATTTCCCAACCTATTTCTAAAATAGTCAGCAAAATAAAGCGAGAAAGTGATATGTGTTGTACCAGCTGGAAGAACAGATCTCTCTAAAGGCAATCGATTTTTCACACACACACAGTGGTAGCAATGCACACTTCAATAATCAAACAAGTAAGAATGTTCAAGAAAATGCACACTTTATAATTTACACAATGAGATGAGAGTGATGATGATGATTAATTTGAATCATTATCACCACCACTAATATTAATAACAGTCAATCCATCATTATCATTTCCTCCAAATGCATTACTATTACCACTTGCAGTGGTAGTTGTAGTATTAGCAGCATTACCAGAAGTAGTATTAACACCACCACCAACTGAATTAGTTGAATTAATGGATGAATTGATAATTGGTGAATTTGAAAACATTGGTTTTCCTTCATCAATTGAAAATCTAAATCCACTATTAATACTTTGTCTAGAATTAGTATCAGATTCTTGTTGATGTGAATAAGCATCACCAATGGTTGAATTTGATGGTTTAATTGACTTGGCACAACAAATACAAATTAAAAAACTTCCACCACACATCAATGAGCTCAATAATCCAACACCTAATAAAGTAAAACTCATAATATAATAAGAAGTGACATCTCTATCAAAATAAATATCAGTACAAGTTGGTTGAACTGAATAAGCACCTTTCGGATAATTTTCATCACCACAATCATTTCTAGATGAAGCAATTGCAACTTTTCTATCAGGAATGCAATTCAAATATAATTCTTGACATAAATATTGACATGGTTTATAGAGCTCAACTAATCCTCTACTCCTGTCATGAACACATCTTTTAAATGACATGCTACAATATAAATCAATTGCTGAATTTTTACAATTAGATGTAATAGAACCATAATTAACTTCCATTTTTGTAATAAAATTGTCAATTTGTGAGATTAGTCTAGGTTCGACTGTGTTTAATGATCTTGAAGTTATATACGAAATGTTATTTGGAATTAGTCCGGAACAATATTCTACAGGTGTTGTCAATGGGACACATGATTCTTGTTGTATATTTCGTGATGAATGAATTGGAAATTCAAATTCTTGATTAATTTCTTGTTTAAATTGTTCATTTTGTTCGGAAATAAATTTGGCAATTTCAAATGATTGTTGACAGTTAATAAAAAATTGATGAAAAAGCAAGATGATGACGATGAGAATTGTTGGTTTTAACATGTTGGTGAATAATAGGATCAGTTATTTTTTTTTTGATGTTTTTTAAAGAGATCAAACTGGAAGGTTACCTGTCACATGCCACCAATCAACATTTATTTTCCTGATCTGATGAAACTCTCATTTTGGATAGGGTTTGTTTGTTGTATAAAATTGAAGACTACAATAATTTTGAAAATTGAATTTCATTAGTAACAATTTTTTTGATTAGTGACAGTTAAGGGAACACAAGACAAGATCAGCTAAATCATATTTACCACCATGTTTTTCATTCGATAAATTAAAATAACTTTTTAACTTTGTCATTGCTTGTCTTCTTGCTTGAATTTCTTCATGTGAAATATTTTGTAAAAATCGAATCAGCCAATTTGAGAAAAATTCCAAATTTTTGTAAAGTTTTTGAATTGGTTTTGGAATTTCAAGAATTATTTGAGATCGATCAATAACTTGATGTGGTAATAATGCATTAAGGTCCTGATTATTGGAATTTAAAGAAATGGGTATTGAGCCATGTCGAATTGATTGATGTAATAATTTTGATGGATTTACATTTGACATGATGACATAGGTACAGTTCAGTAATTCGATCGAATTGACCTTTTTAGAGAATAAATGTGGATAATCATTTCCAAAGTGAATTTCCAACATTTCCGCAATTTGATTTTCCTCCCCATTGAAATTTTCTTCAATTAATTGACAAAGTAGAGAATTTCTATTGAAAGAAGTGGAAATTTGATGGAAATTGGAATCAAAAAGTTCAATGGTTGTGAATGGTAGAGTTTTCACATTCTTTTGCTCAATTGCATGTGGTGATAATGTATAAATGGTGAAATTATTGAAAATGGATTGAATTTTGTTTAGATTTTCAATAATTTTTGGTATTTGTTCATTTCCAGTGTTGTTGCTAATGAGAAATCCCTTCTTCTGAATTCCAACTTGTTTCACTTGTTGATCCAATACATGTTGATTGAATATCACATTGAGATTAAATGGATAGAATATCAAATTGGCATGTTCAGTATTGCTGGTGAGAATATTTTCATTCTTCAATCGTTGAATAAGTGCAAATTCCATTAGAGTTGGTAAATGATCAATGCTATTATGTGTTGATAGGGAATCAATTGTTAATTCATGATAGAATTGTGGAATGTAAATTTTACAAGTAAATTCTCCACAATTTTCCATTTTCATTGTCATGTTAAATTTAGGAATTGATAAATTCATCCACTTGTAAACTTTTTCAATTGGTCTTCCCATAAATATATCAATAGGATTAAAATTGTCATGTTGTTCATCTCTGGGACGATTGTTATATCTTGGAGGAATTGAAAGTGGTATCTGTGCACTCAAGATAGATAGAATAGCAAGTAGATTTGATGATTGAGCATGTTTGTATCGAAGGAAAAAGGAAATGGATTTGAAAATGTTCAACATTCTCAAATATTCACCATTCCTATCAATTTGATTCAATCTCTCAATAATTTCCTTTACAGGAACATGTTCTTCAGCATACTTGTTATCAATTACAATTGTAAATTCCTCAACTGGTAATAAATATCCAAAAAGTGATCGATAACTAATAAATGTCTTCTCAGTAATGACTGGTATGCAACCCATGAGCAAGGATTCATAGAATGCATTTCTAGTTGGTGTATCTCCATGAAGTTGTAAACAAAATTTGGATTTTCCATAAATTTCAATATTACTACTCGTAGAAATTGATTCCTTGAATGTATGAAAATATCTACCTCTGAATTCGCTCAACTTGGTCACAAGATGATATCTATGAGTGAATAGAATTTCAGTTCTATTCAATGAACCAATGAATGAGAGAAGATAGGGTCTATTCTTCCAATTGTGTGTATAATCCTCTGCATAGAGAGTGTTAGAACTTTCATTATATGCTGATGGCCAATCAAAAATGGTTGCATATGGAATGGTGAGGCATCTATCTTGACATCCATTATCATACCAAGCATTCTGTGGTGAACCACTAATTGCCACATTTTCCAACGTTACAATTTTAACCTGTTTTGGAATTCCACTAAATGAAAGTCTATACGAAACAAAGGAATACGTTACAAAATGTGGAACTTTTTCAAAATTATCTTCCATTTCAGTATTGTAAATCATTTCATTGTAAAAATCAGATTTAATCTTTTCTGTCAAGTTTAGAAAATCCTTCTCTCCCTCCTTTTTAATATTATCATAGAAATTCATTACGAGAGGAATTGGAATGTATGCAATATTTGCCTCCTCAATATTATTCACTCTTTTTATCAAATTTCCATCATAGTAATTAGAAGTATTCAACATGATAAAATCAATTAAATAGCAATCAATATAGGCATGTGGAAAGAAGGTCATTTCCTCATTATCAAAGGAATGATTCTTACACATGTCTATAGTTCTCTCATACATTTGCTTTCCATTTTCACTCAGTGGATAAACATAAATTCGGAGAGGGAATTCAATTCTTTCCATCATCATTCTTGAATGTTCATTGAGCAATTTGTTATCATTCGCTCTTTCATCATCATGATCGTAATGATGATAATATTTAAATTCGATTAATAATTTTAATAATTCCCTCAATGATTCCAAAGTATGATGATTGTGATGATTTGAAGGCTTCTTTCGTTCATTCATCAATTTTTGTAGAATTAATTTTCCTTCCGATGCTGATGCTGAATTAAAACAAGTAGAAAAATTGGAAAGTAATATTAACTTATCAACAACATTAAGATGATGCTGATCACTGATTATTGTTTTAATTTCTTCATCAGCCGATTTTAATGATGATGAAAATTTAAAGCCTTCATCTTCCGATGAAATAATAATAATAGTAATAAATAAATAGCTGGGCAGGAACGAGCAAGATTAACAACAGGATGATTCGTTTCCAATTATTGGCTCCTTCTTGTTGGGTTTGCATTTTTTTTGTAATCATCTTTAAATATATTTAATAAAATTGTAAAGTACTGGTTTATTAATGAGAAGAATTCAATACCAAATGTTCATCAATAAATGACAATACAAATCTCTCACCAGGACAACAAGCAAACACTCCACATGAAACAATTACCAAAAATCTAAACAATACTAACCTTCCTAAATAGGAACATCCATCCAAAATGGAATTAAATGATAATTTCATTGGAGAACCAGCAACCATCGAAATTGGTTGACCATTTTGAATAATTGCAAAACTTCCCTTCCCTCCAAATTTAGCAAATTGAATCTTTTCCCTTAAATACCAAGCTTCTATAAATGGTCCTGCAAAGAATAATGTGAAAACATTTACAAATCTCTTCAAGAACCAATACATTAATTCAATTCTCCATCCACAATAGATACTAAACCATGTGAATTGATTTTTGCCACCTTTTTCATTGTTAAAGCCAATCCATTGAATTTCTTCTGAATTTTCTTTTGAACTTTCTAATGGTTTCCAATAAATTCTATCATCAATCTTTCTGTAATAGAATCTGTGGGTCATTCCAAAGACTCTCCACAATCCACAAGTGTACAAATTCAGCCAACCGTTCAAATAATGAAGAAATGGAATGTGACAACAGTGATCAGAAATGTCCATGTCTAATTTCCGATTTCCAACCAACATTTTTCTGACACGAAATCTTGTTCTTCTCAAAATGAAAATGGAATCAAAAATTCCACATGTTAATTTTCTGAAAATCCATGTAACTGCCCAAAAAAGGAAAACTGCACAATCAGCATAATTGACATCATATAAAGTTGTTCCATTGACCAATTGACCTGAAATGGATGTGGTAGGTAACTCAGAGTATGGATTCTTTGATTCCAACTCGGTTTCGTTTGAATTAGTTTGTTTCACACAACATCCAACAATGCATAAAGCAACGCAGGCAATAATTGTTGGTAAGATGATAATTAAAAATAAAAGACCAGCTACGGAACCTCCAATGACACCTGCCCAGTTGACATATTGTTGGGCGTATTGTGAGATGGTTTGTCCATTGATTTGTCTAGTTTCGAATATTTGTGTCCATGAAGGCAAGATGATTAGTTTAGTTTCTTCAAGTTTACTTTGACTAGCTGGAGTGGATTTGGTTGCTTGTGGTACTAGATGGATAGAAGCTTGTACGCAACCAACAAAACAAGCGAAAACAATGATAAAAACAAGCAAGCTGACTTTTGACATTTTTTTAACAAGTGTCAACCAAAGTTTCAGTTTTCTATTGCCAATTAATTGCATGTAAACGAAAGGACCATTTACCCCAACGGTTAGAAGTCAATGCAAAAGCGGAGAACCGTCAAACTTACCCAAAATAAACTCTAAATTGTTTACAAAACCTTTTTCACACACAAATTATTCGATAGTTCCATAATTTTATCACAATAAACAGATTTGAACGTGTTAAATTTTATTGAACGGATTGATAGGCATATTTCTGACGTCTTTTCACCACAATACAAATCACCATTGAAATGATTGAAATCACAACACAAAAAGCAAATAATCCCAAGCCAACACTCACACCAATAATCACAGATTGATTATTTCCATTTTTAGATGAAGAAGATGAAACAATTTGTTTCGAATAATGTGGATGAGGAGAAGGAGAAGGAGAAAATGATGGATAAGGAACAGGTGGTAATGGTCCATTCAGAACTTTCCCATAGAAAACTATTAAGGAATTATTGAAGAAAGTTCCGTGATCACATTGAACGTATTCATTGGATCTTTTATCCTCAAATGAATAATCCTTAATCTCATCTCCGAATTTGTATCCGTATTTGACACGAGCTCCACATGACATTGATGCCAAGTCAATTATGACATTTCTTCCATAAATATCTGTGAAATTTCCATTGGATTCAAAGTTGAAATTAATATAGGAAGATAATAGATTATCGTACTCGATATTACTTTGATAAAACATGTAGCTCTTCAAAATTGTATATTCGAAACCTGGTCTTTTGTTATACGAATCTTGAATATCTTCCACTCTAACTTGGTTCATTTCTTCAATTTTAAACTTTGGAATTGATGGATCATTATACGAAACTGGTCCCTCTACAAATCCAAGAGATGTAAACTCTTTCGAATTTCTCAACTTTTCTTCAATTAGCTCATAAGAGGAAGGACATGAAAGTTTCGTCCATTGTGAAAATTTCACATTTCTTGGCTCAGTATCTCCCAAATTATAAATTAAGGCAACTGTTGTTGAATTAATGGTAGTAAATATCTGAGAAAGATTTAAATTCAATGAAAATTCATCAATTGAAGAAATTTCTTCACCAAATTCACTTTTTTCCTTCAAAGTTTGATTTAATTTTGTAAAGTGCAAATCTCCAATTCTGGCAATTAGTTGATTGGGAATGTCAACATTGAAAATACCAAATCTAGCGTTTAATAGGACAGTTGCGTTCAAAATGGTAACGTTTTGGATGAGTGGAAAGTCAATGGAATACTTTAGTTTAGTTTCTCTGTGAAATTGGAAAGAAAAAGAATCTGATGAGGAAATTTCATCATCAATATTTTGGAATTGGTATCGGAAACTCACTTGAATACCAGTAGGAAGCTTGTAGTAATCAGAGGGTGATTGAAAACCTTGATAGTTATATGTTGAACTTTCGTATATATTTTCGTATACTTGTTTACTGTTGTACTTGGAGACAGTGTAGATTTTGCCGAAATCTGAGCAATAAACGAAAAGTGGTAAGAAAAGTACAGCCAACAATGTGAGGCATTGTTCGCTGCTGGATGAAATTTGCATTTTTTTTATGTTTCGATTCGTAAATCGCTGAGTCTTTCTTTCTTTTTAGGATTAATGAGTGTTAAAGGTCGCTGAATTGTGGTGTAATCCGTTAACCCTCTAAATACTCTTTATACCCTTCTTTACAATATTTGAACATTCACCAAATTTTGAAAAGTCATATGGCTCAAGAGATAAATGTAGTTGCGACATAATTTATATATTATAATTGTGTACCATTAAATAACAATATCATAACCGATGATAGCTCAGCTGGTAGAGCATGGGACTGTAGCAAGAAAAACTGTTATCCTGTGGTCGGCGGTTCGATTCCGTATAATCGGATCTTTTTATCTTCTTTTCGATTTTTTCAATGGTGCGATTTTGTTAAAGTTTGTTACTATTTTATTGAACTATTTCTGTAAATCTTGTTTACATTTTATTGAATGGATTTAACTTTATCCATTTCATAAATTGACTCTCATCAACATTCATTCCACCTCTCAATCTCATTTCCCTCATTTGTCTAACCTTCTTACAATACCACTTGCATTTACAAGATTGATTATTACCATTATTAGAAGGAACAGGAACGACTGGAGAAGGAGATGGCACAGGAGTTGGAGTAATAATTGGCTTTGAACTATCTCCGTACTTTTCAACTGTATATGAGGAACCAACTTGTTCTCTTATAAATGAGATATATTGAGTTGCATTTGTGTAGGCACCAACATTTGATCCACCACATCCTGGAGGTCCATAAGAAACGACACCTGTCAAGACAAAGATTGGTAAATTGTTATTGACAGTTCCTGCAGCAATAACTCTGAAAAGTGGACCACCACTATCACCACCACAAGTATCAATACCATTTCCATTACCAGCACATATTTGATTTGGAGACGAAACTCCCAAATTTTTGGCGTTACAAACTGAAACTGGCGAAATTGGAACCATAGCCTTCTGAATCACTTGAACGCTTGATTGAGTTGTAGTTCTTCCCCAACCAGCAATATTTACCATTGAGCTAGAACTAGATGAAAGAAATTGATCCAATGTCAAATTCTCAATTTTGGCGGCAACTGCTCTAACTCCGTCCAATGGAATTGGTTGATCCAATTCAATGATTGCAATATCATTCTTAATGGTAGAACTGTCATAATTTGGATGCTTTGTGAATTTGGTAACTGTACGAATCGTGCATGATGTTGAACTAGCGGTGCATTGATTATTCGAATTCCCAGCAATAATTCTCAATTTATCTAAAGTGACACCAATATCACAGTGAGAAGCAGTGACAATGTGGAGAGGGGATATGATGGTTCCTGCACAGAAGTGGATTCCTGTGGCAACTGATGAGCTCGAGTAGTATTGAATGCTGACCATATGTGGAAATTCATTGGCAGATGACACTGATGTGCCACCAGCAACGTTGATTGCTCTAGAATTGGAGGGAAAGAGATTGGTTTGCATTGAGGAACAGTTGATGAAAGTCAATGTAAGGAGAGTGAGGAGCAACAAGTTGCTCAAGGTGTTTCGGATAGTTTTGATATTCGAATACATTTTGTTTTGTTTTTTTTGTGATTGTTTGAAAGTCAATGTTTCGTCTGATGAGCCAATTTATACTGTTTCGGCATGAGGATGGCTGAGATTCAATGATTTGTGAAAATGAAACTCAATCACCCAAGTTGTCTAATTTCCAATTTTGGAAATTATTTTCAAATTGTGAAAAAGATGAAAATTATCCATTCACTTTTAAAATACCAATTTTCACTATTGAGATCTTTAGGTAATTCAAATTCACAAGATTCAAAATAAAGACAGTTTTTCTCCACATTACTCAAATATCTTTATTCGTTTATAAAAAGAACATTTTATCAAGTTTACAAAACATTCATGTTATACTAAAATATTATTATTATCAGATTTATTTCCACAAATATTATAATGATGGTAAATAACAATGATGATCAGGTTGGTTGTTGTTCCGATGATGGTTGGTACCAACTTGAATTTTTCCAAATAATAAAATTATTTCCAAATCATGATGAACAATTAAATTCCAAAAATTACTATTAATACTACTATTTAAATCATTCTCCAAGAATCAACCGAGTCGGGATGGACTTACTTGTTGTCAATATTTTTCCAAGTTCTTGTTGATTGATTATAACTAAGGATATATATGTCCAAAGATATTTTTTAGCATTATGAGCTTAATTATGCGAACAGTTTTTTTTGCATGGTTTGTCAAAAGATTTTTTTCGCCTGATTGGTTCTATTCACATACATTATTTTTTCATAATGACAACTGTTGGTAGATATATGTTTCAATGTCAAAATTGCACGTGCAATAAACTTTACAACAAAAAAAAATGCTTGAAAAGCCAACACTGAGTGTGATTATTCTTGGTCAAGCTAATTCTGGTAAAACAACATTGGCCGTACAATTACTACACTCCCTCGGGACTATCAATTCTTCAATCATGGAACGAGTAGAATCTGGCATGCAATTAGATTCGTCTGATTCTATTCGAAACTATGCAAGCGTGTTATCGAGAACGAAGGATGAAATTAAGAGAGGAAGAACAATGAATTTAGTTTACAGCATGGCCGAAACTAAACATTTTCATTTAAATATTATTGATGCTCCAGGTAATTAGGAAAATTTGATTAATTTAAATATATGTGGTAATGATGATGATAAAAAGCGAATCCATTTTTGAAAAGTATGTTTAGAGGAATATCACAAGCAAATATTGGAATTGTTGTGTTGGATGCTGAAATTGGAGCCTTTGAAGCTGGAATTCCAAATATTACAACAATGATTAGAGCCACATATTGTCTCGGATCAATTCAATTGATTTTCTGTGTGAATAAGATGGAGAGTGTTGATTATTCTAAAACAAGATTTATGGAAATTAAGAGTGAAATCACTAAAATATACAAGAACAATGGATATAAGAATGGAAATGCTACAGTAATTCCAATTTCTGCCTTGTCATCATTATTGGGAAATCATAATGATGATAATATTTTGGAACCAGCGTGTGGCAGTAAAATGGAATGGTATAAAGGTGGTAGACCTTGTCTTTTGGATGCTATCAATTCTCTAAAGGCACCTCTCTACAGGTACGATTTACCACTTCGAATTTCAATTTCAAAGGTTTTTAATTTGAAAGGTGCATTGGTTGTGTTTGGAAAAATTGAAACTGGAATTTTGAAATTGGAAACAGAAATTAGACTCACTCCCCACAAGAAACAATTTCCTCCCTCCATGAAAATTGAATCCATTGCAATTTGCAGAAAACTTGTCAGGGAAGCAAAAGCAGGTCAATTGGTAACCATCCAATTGAAAACAAGTTTGAATCCTTCAAACGTTAAACCTGGAATGGTATTATCAGATTTTAATAATGATTATGCTAAAGAAGTACATAGTTTCAAGGCAGATATTGCTGTATTGAGAGAGTCACCATTTCGAAGAGGGTACAATCCCACATTTAATATTCACTCACTACAAACCAGCTGTAAATTCAAGGATTTTTATGTCTCCTCCAATACGATTAAAAGATATGAGAGAGATGAAAATCCAATGGAGCTCAGAAAAGGTCAATATGCTACCGTTCTTCTGAAACCAAAAAATCAAATCTATGTTGCTACGGTTTATTCTTATCCTCCATTTGGAAGGTTTCTAATGTGGGATAATGGTAATATTTGTGTTTTTGGTGTGATCACTGAAGTCTATACTGACTCACCTCCTAGACGGTAACGATTACATTGAAATTATTTCTTAGAACTAATCTATTAATAAAGTGGACGAAACACAAACGTGTCAAATTCATTTTTCAGAAATCATAAAAAAATGGTAATTATGAAAGATTTTATACAAACCAGTTGATCAAGAGGTTAAAATATATTGAAATAGTCTGTTTAGCAATCAAAACTTATGGCGAATCTGTCATTAAATATCTATCGAAAGACTTGATGGAAAATGAAATGATTATTGAAGAATTGTGGAAACAAGTCGGATCCTATGAGAATGCATCAGAATTATTGAGAAGAAATGTGAAATTCTCAAAGAGAGCCATCTCTGCAAATCCAGACTCTCTACAATTTGCACCAATTAACATTAAGAACAATAAGGAGGTTGTACTGATAGCTGTACAACATAGAGGCACACTTTTAGAATTTGCATCAGAAAGTTTGAGAGAAGATGTTGAACTTGTCAAAATTAAAACAAGAACAAGTAAAGGCCTGGAAACAAGTTAAATCATTTCCTAATTATTTGAAATAGCCAATTTATTGATATTCTTGAAGATAATTTTGAGCTTCAGTACTCAAATTTCCATTCGGATTGCTGATTTCAGCCTCAATTCCTTCTCTCCACACAAACTCTTCAATGGTATCAGCAACTAACACAAAACTTGTCAATCTCAAAACATTTGGAAAGAAATCTTCATCTGCCTCAATATCTTCACCACTCAACCCAGAAACAACACATGGTTTTTCAGTACTTCCAATTTTAGTTGGATCAGTAACTGTCAAATCACACAATGCAAACCAAGTCATACACGATTGTTGATCATGATAGAAAGGATACAAAACAAATTGATTATTTGGCAAATAGACATCCAATGGCCCAATCATATCTCTCAACCAATAATGACAAACTCCATTCTTACTGCCAAAGAAACTTTGATCACTAAATAATTGTTTCAAAACATTCGGAATATTTGGATCAACCAATTGAGTAAGATTATTATTATTCGGGGTGGTAGTACTGATGGCCCCACACTTTACCAATGATTCATTATAGTTGGTATCTTGAGGAAAGGCTGGCAACTCGGAATGATCATAATTTTCATACATGCCATAGGAGTGGAGTGGAGTTCTATTGGGAATGGAGCCTTCGAAATTAATCCAGCCTCGTGGAAGATTGGCAATGATTGGAGAGGCGTAATTGGTGGTGTTATTGCTTTGAGACATTTTTTTTTCTATGATTTTTTGTTGATTACAATTTCCAGTTATTGCTGTGAAAAATTGTTGTCAATAACTTTTTAAATTGTTACATTGAACATGATAGGGACAATTTATTTGTTAGAGTAATTTTCGTTTATTATTTCGCTTAACCACAAGACCAGAGAATTTTCTGTCACCAGAACCAACCCCCTCTCCCTCTGTGTGCTGTACTTCATCCTTCCTCCCGAAATCCCATCCCAAATTAAATCTATTTTCCTTATTGTTTGCAGATTGGAAGATTCCATAGGCAGTATGATAAATATCGTCCAATATTTTCACTCTTTCCTCTGAAAGATTGAATTTAGATTTAAATTCATTCCACTCGTTCAGGTTGACCTTAGCTCTACTTGTCTTTAATCCAATTTTGAAGAGTAAATAACGTGCCAATTTCATTTCTCCAATTACACTGCAAATTCTACATGGAATGTTTGATCCAAGACGTGGATTGAATGCTGCAAGTGCCTTATCAACCTTCTTTCTTTCTTGCATTGTAATTTTACTGAACCGTTCTTCAAAGGCATTATCATCATCATTCAATTTCTTCAAATATTGACCCAATGCATCCACAGATTCAAAATCATTATGATCCAAGTAGAGACTCTTTGGAATACCCCAATCTTGTCTCAAATTTGGAGCACCTCTGTAGAGCATTAATACTTTCGATCCGTGCTCGAGAGCTCTCAATCCTTCAAAGAATTTCTCAGTAACATAATCTTTGGCAATTGAATTTTCAGCTGCATAATAGAATCGACAATTATTTTCAATTTCAAATGTTTTACCACCTGGTCCTTCTTGTGCATTCTTTCCACATCTACCATATTGTCTCACTGGAATGTATTTTGAGAGTGTATTCAAGAGTTCAAATCTTTGTTTCAAATCAGTGCAACCAGCTTGATCACAATTTGAAATAAAAGCACAAATTCCCTTATTTTTTTTGAATGGTTTAGTTCCAAATTCCTTTGACTTGGAAAGACTCATATCCTGATAATGGTAATTGATCCAAACAGAACATGTGGAAAGGAAGCAAATGGAAATGTCGGCTGTGGAACGTGCAAATCTTTGCTTTGACCAATAGCTATCTGCATGTTGTGTAATTCCACCAACGAGTTCATGAACACGAGCCTCACTACACATGATAATTGACAATCTTCTCATTCCTCTCCAAATCTTTTCACCAAATAAATTATCCAACTGATGAGAGTGATGTAAAAGTGCCTCTTCATCTCCAACCAATTTCTCCCTCCTCAAATTCATATTCGAATTCACAACATTAAACTGAAATTCATTCACAATTTTTGCTTCATCACTTTCAGAATTTAAAAAGTATGGATCCTTATATTGACAATGTTGCAAAACTGCATCCAATTCCACTCCCTCTTTCAAGAACTCTCCTGCTGTCTTGTCTGCATAAAATCTACAAGAATGTTGATTCCTACACTCTTCAGTTGTGTTAATAGTTCTGAAATATGGAAATAATTCAGCACTCGTTGTGTGTGTCTCTTGAAACCCCAATTTAGTCATTATTGGATCTTTAAATAGTGTATTTCCTAGTTGATTCTTCTTATCCAGTTGTTTTCTATACCATCCATATGAACCTTCCTTGGTTTGGTCCGGATTAGTCAATAGATTCGTAATTTGCTCATAGATTCGTATTTGTTCCTTTCTATGTGTCGAATTATTAAAGAATTTAAACTCCAAATAGTGCATCATCACATGCAACACAACAATTGCCACAATAATCAACACAAACAATTTTACAATTCGTAAAACTTTTTGTTTAAATGTGAATTGATGAGAAATTGTTGGAAAATTCAAAGATGATGGATTTTCCATATCGGTCGTTCGTGATGATGAATTATTGATTGAATTTGTTAATGGTGCATTCCTTCGTGTGTGGAGGTCTTGGTTTGGCCGTTCCGAAGCGTAGGTTGGCAACATTTTTTTTTTAATTTTAAAAATTAAAACTTTTTGGTTTACAAAACTTTAACACATGCAGCAAGAGTTTGTGAAAATAAAAGTGTTTGATATGCATCATGTTAAAGAGTTGAAAGCCAAGGTGAGGAAATCTAAATCTAAATTTAAGGATTCGACAATTTTGGGATTAATTTTGACCAGTTTCAAGAATAAACTCTCATTACTCAATATGGTATTTCTTACTTTCTCCAAATAGTCGGTAATATCTTTGTTTCTATCCTTTCCAATTTTTACACATTCCACAATAAATTCAGGGTCATTCATAATATTCGAATCTGCTTGAGAGGGAAGATCACCACTTCCTCTCACACATTCCAATAAAATTTCTCTATCTGAATTAAAAGGATGAGATTCACTCCAGTCCAATGAAATTGATCCTGAAGTTGTTGCTTTCAATGTTTCCAATATTATTTCCCTATCCATTCTGAATTTTTCATCAGTGTAAAAAAGTACAAAACCACTTGCTTTCACACACTTTAGAACAAAATCTCTATTGGAAGCTAGAGAAGAATCGACATATTTGAAATTAATGCTCGCATGTCTGATCGATTCGAGAATAATCTCTTCGTTTTGTTTGAATTTCTGAGGAACACAGTCCAAACTAAAGCCATTTCTCACTGCATTTAACATGAATTCTTCGTCCACAAAATCTGGCAATGGCTCTTCAAGTAATGTTTCGTCTTTTAAAATTGCCAATCCCAGTAAATCTCTATCCCCTCTAATGGTATCATGAAGTGAAGTTTTCAATTCATTTGATGCAATATAATAGTAGTAACCAGTTTCTTCCAAAAAGCTTTGAATCAGTTTCTTATCTTGCTTGATTGAACTGTCCACAAGCATAAAAGATTCATGGTTTTTCATAACTGCCATCCGAGCTAGTTCTAAATCCCTTTTGAATTGATCACTAGTGAATTCTATTGCATTTCCATTACTTTTAACAGCCTCATAAACTATTTCTCTATCTTGATTTCTTAACATTTCAGATGAAAATTCTAGAGCCAGTCCATTTTGTTTGACAGCTTCCATAACAACTTCCCTGTCCTTTCTCAGTGATGGATGGGCAAACTCTAAATCCAAACCATTATTTCTCACACATTTCAACACAAAATCTCTATCTTTCTGATAGGAAGGTGGCACCAAGCTCAAAACTTTCAAATTCTTGCAAGGCGCCAAATTTAACACTTTAGGATCTGTTTTGAGTTCATATGGAAGGTGAATAAATATTTCAGGACGATATTCCATCAGTGCCAAAACAAACTTCCTCCTATTGAACATTTCTCCATCAATTTTGGTTATATTAAATGATGCATGTTTGGCAGCTTCGTATACAACTGTATTATCCTTATTGAACGACTCATCACAAAAATGGAAAGCTTCAGGTGTTGAACGAACTGCCTCCAATACCAATTCCTTATCCTTCTTCAATTCTTTACTGGCATAGCCCAACATGGTTCCATTCAGTTTACATAACTTTCGCATAAATTCTCCATCTGTTCCAAGTGGAAAATTCGAAAGATAATGAGAGTTGTTTGAGCATGCCTCCATCATGATTTCTTTATCTGTTAGATAGGGTTCGTAATTCAAAGTTTCCTGTTGAAATAACAATCCTTTTTTAGCTAGAAAGAGAGCTACTTGTCTGTGTTTCATCCATTGATCTGGTATTGGAAAGTTGGGAGTTGATATACGAAACATACCACTCCCTTTAAATCTACCAACAAATAAATCGGGAAAGGCTTCACTGGTTCGGAGGATTTGTATGATTAAAGGAAGATCATCAGGCACAAGTTTCGAATAAATTGTGGAATGTTGTGTGATGAAACGAATTAGTTTCTTCTCTCGATGATATTTTTGTATGAGTAAATTGGATCCGATTGTTAGATCCAAGTGAATAGACTCAGTTTTATCCATTTGCATTTTTTTTAGAGATTAGTTTAATTGTAAAGTTTCTAATAGAAAAAAATGTCTCTACTATCACTTCCCAAAGAAATGTTCATTCTCATACTTGGATACAGTGATCGGGATACAAGGTCTAATCTACGATTAACTTGTAAATTTCTATCATTTGTGAAGAATTACATTACTTTCGAACAAGTTAATTTTCACAAGAATTATTCGAATTTTTTTTGGATACGAGAGGCGAATTTATTACTACGAGATATGAAAAGTGATGAAAATACAGTTGAATCTTCAAGTAAATTTATGGAGGAAAATATTGGAAAAATTGAGACGATTTCAGTTAATTTGTACATGTTTGAAATTCAACCTTTCGAATTTATTACAAAAATATTCGAAAGGTGCAAATGTAATTTAGTGTGGAATTTGAAATTGACCGTTTACTTTGGATTAAATAGTCCCATACCAGTACAATCCTCATTCCTTTCCAATTTCAATAATTTGCACTCACTTTCAATAGGTTTCACAACTTTCCATAATAGTTTGGATTTGATTTTGACTGAATTGGAACAAACCAAATTCACACAATTGAAGATATTCGAATTCTCTATCCATGTTCCTCATTTCTCTTCATCAAGTCAGAGCCAGATCAAATCCGCTCATGTGAAACGAATTGAAAAGTTAATTCTTCAAATGAAGAAATTACAAAAATTAATATTGGAAATTCCAATCGAAACAACAATATTGGAAGAAATTGAAAAGGATCCAAATTTTCTAGTTGATTTCTTTAGGAATGTATCTTCAAATTGCCAAGAATTATTTCTCAGATTTGAGGGCACAGCCATTGTCAATCAATTACAATTAGATTATATCAGTAACTTATCAAGATTGGAAATTAATCAACTTCCTAATCCTCTATTGTTGAATCCATCGTTAAGGGAATTGAAAATTGGAACCTATTCCACAGTACCACCAATTAGTTGCCAATTTTTGAACAAGGATTTCTTAATGGGAAACAAGTTTGATCACCTTAAACGATTGGAATTGCTTCGAGTGAGAAATTTAGAAGGTGCCTCAAACTCATTTCCCTCTTTGGAATTTGTAAAATGTTTTTGTTGCTTTTTCAATAGTGGAATTGATTTTTTTACAAGAATTAGGAAATTGAAAAGTTTGATTTTGGATAAGTGTGATTTCAAATTACAATCAAATGTTGAATTTCAGTGTAAAGAATTGGAAGAATTGAACATTACAACAGCACGCTCAATCCATTTTCTTGATATTTCACTTCTTAGTGGACTTCAATTGAGAAAGTTAACTATTTATCCTGGTGAAAATGATGATCTATCACCGATTGAGCAAATGATTAGTTTGGAATATTTATCTATTTTATCATCCTACCAAAATATTTCTTTGAAAAAGTTGACTAATCTGAAATATTTAGGGTTTTCATATGCAGAAATTTCATCGAGTAGCTCATCAACTAATTTGATAGAAGAGTATCTACTCCATAACTGTGTCATTCACATCAGTAGGATATATAATGCAACTGGAAACCTTATTCCAGTTTTATCCGAAACTGGATCTGAAACCATTCATCAATCTATTACTGAACAAATTTGTCAAAATAAGAACCAATTTGAAGGTGGATTGAATAATGTGAAATTTATTCTCCTTTCCAATGAGAAGATTTATGTTTCGTTTTATATTCTAGCAAGCCATCAACCAGATCAGCCTTACATGACCTATTGCTATCCAAGTTATATTCTATTCGAAAGGACTCCTCCCTTCTCCATTCTATCAAGTGGAAGACACTCTGAAATGAAACAAACCTTCAAGAATGAAAATGTAAATTCCAATGACAAGGAAATTATTACCACCAAAAAAACATCCAAATGTGAAATTCAATGAGTTCAATAATTTTTCAAGAAGAAGAGAGAAAAATCTTGAAAATTTTGTAAAAATCTTGCGAGGTTACCGAAATCGGTCATTCACAATCAAGGAACGAAATAGATATTAATTTTACTGCATCTTCACATTTCGAATATCAAAAAACGAATCCTTTGGATATTAGAAAAGATTCAACAAACAAAAAAAAAACATCTTGTCTGCTTACTTTTGTTGCCTACCAATCAACACAAAGAACACAAGTTTACTCGCCTGTTGCATGATACAAACCTTCAAAAAACCAACTCACAATGCTTCCCTGCTCATTAGGGATGAATTTGGGAATAGTGAAAAGGAGGGAATCAACCATCCTTCTGTAATAACACTATCCAGAATGTTATTATCATTATCATTTCCACTACTCAATCATGGTAAAAGTGATGATCATAACAGAAAGGAAAATCCTAATTGTCCGCCACCACCATCACCACCACCAATTAAAAAGAGGAGTTTTTCACTCGTATTATTGTTGGCTCTTTTAATTTTGGTTGTTTTGGCAACTTTTTCTTACGAACAACATTCAATGTTTGTTGTTGAGGGTTATGTTCCAACAAGAAGAAGAATTAGTCATGTTTTTGCTAGCAGCAGCAGTAGTAGTGCTGTTAATAGTAATAACATGACCATTGATTGGCCTTCAGTTTGTGCCAATTACTATAATCACACTAATAATGGATCTGCCCCAATTCCCCACCACGAAGAAGAAGAAGAACCAAATATCTTGAATATGCCTTGGTATGATATTGTCATTAATGTTGGAGCGAGTATGTTCTTTATTTTGGGTGCTGGTTTAATGTCTGGTTTCACACTTGGTTTACTTTCCATTGATACAATGCAATTGGATATTCTCAAATCGACTGGAACTGAAAAGGAGAGAAAGTATGCTGCTCGTTTGGCTCCAATCCTGAAAAGACATCACTTGTTGTTAGTTACCTTGTTGTTGTGGAATGCTTTGTGTGTGGAATGTCTTCCTCTCTTCTTGGACAAGCTCGTTCCTGAGTGGGCTGCCATCTTGTTGGGTATTACTTTCGTCTTGTTATTTGGTGAGGTTATTCCACAATCTGTCATTTCTAGATATGGTATGGCTATTGGTGGTACTTTATATTGGTTGGTTTGGTTCTTGATTGGACTTGCTTTTGTTATTGCTTATCCAATTAGTAAACTTTTGGATTGGATGCTTGGATCTGATCATGGCACTCTCTATAAGAGAACTGAATTGAAGGAATTGGTTAATATTCACTCAAAGGCTCATGATCCTAATTTCCACTTGACTGAACATGAAGCTAAAATTTTGGGTGGTGCTTTGGAATTTGCTAGAATTCCTGTTAGTCAAATTTTGACCAAATTTGAAAATGTTTTCATGTTGGATTTTGATAGCCAACTTGATGTGGACACAATGACAAGTATTTGGCAAGCTGGTCACTCTCGTATTCCTGTTTTCAAGGGTGATAAGAATAATGTTGTTGGTTTACTCTATGTGAAAGATTTGATTCTGGTCAACCCTGATGAATGTGTGCCAATTTCTACAATTTTGACATTCTACGGAAGAGAAGTTCTCAAAGTTTTCCCAGACACTTACTGTGATGAAATGTTAAAGACCTTCAAATCTGGTAGAACTCACATTGCCATTGTTCAAGAACCAAGAGAATCTGAAACTGGTGGTGATCCATACTATGCTATTGTTGGTATTGTATCTCTTGAAGATATCATTGAGGAAATTATTAAGGACGAAATTGTCGATGAAACTGATATCTATGTAGATAATACCAATCAATCCAAGATTAACAGACCACAAAATTCTACCAGTTTGTTACTAAAATTGGAAAGAACCAACAGACTCACTCCAAAACAAGTGGTTGCTGTTGGCTCCTACTTGTGGAAGAGTATGGCCACTTTCAGACTATTACCAGAAGAATATTTGCACAGACTCCTTGGTAAATGTGCAGTTGTGGATGTTAAGAAGAGCTCCTCTGATGAGGAATTACTCCTCATTGAAAAGAATAAGGAATGTGATTATTTTGCTCTTGTATTCAGTGGTAAACTTGAAGCTGTGTTTTGTGAGGAAAAATTCACTTCTGAAATGGGACCTTGGAGTTTTATTGGAGAAAGAGCACTTACAAGAGAAACCTTTATTCCAGATTATGATGTTCGTATTGTGAAGGATGTGACATTTGTCAAGATTACAAAGAAGGATTTTATTGAAATTATTTCACAAGTGTTTATTCAAGAAAATTCCTTCTTCTTGCCTAAAGATATGGAATGGATGAATCCAATTCTCAACAATATGAATAAGCATCAAAATTCAAATGTCAAGATTTCAGCTTCACATGTAACTCACAAATCGAGTGATAATTTGAATAAGACACCAGAACCTGAAAATACTCCTGTTGATGATACAGATATTGAACTAGATCATGTCATTCCACAAAAGAAACGTTTCTTCAAAAAGTATTCGAAATTCAAAGATGATTTGAATGAAGAAGATGATATTGTTTAAAAACAATCAATTTTTCAACTTACATTCCATTTACTTTCTTCAATTAAATTAGAAATCCAATAAAAGCAGTTTCACATCCAATTTCACACATCCACCTCCTTTTTAGTTGTCAATTCTATTTTTGTTTGCCATCCATTAAAAAAAATCAGAAAATTTAAAATTAAAAAAAAAATGAATCTTCGCCGAGATCGTTCCAAGCGGTATGAATTTGTATTGGATTGTCTTCCGCGATGGAGTGTCATCTTGATTTTAGTGCTCGTCTTGCTGATTGTAGGATTATTTGTTATTATTTCTCTGTTTGCGAGCCCAGAAGCCTCTGTTACGGTAACAAGGAGGCATAGTAGTAATGGTTCTACCATTGTTACAACCACAAATAGTCTTGTAGAGGATTATAAATTTATTACTGAACAGGATCGTGATGAAGTTTTGGAATTAACTATAGAAAATACAATAGTGGAAGATAATTCGACAAATAGTACCACCACAGACACTACTACTGATGGAGGCAATTCTACTACTACAAATGGGACAGATATTGTTGTTGGTGGTGATAATAGTACACTAGTTAATAATGGCAGCATTGTTGATAATAGTACTACTAATTCTAATACTTCTGATTATTCTAATAACACCATCATAGATAACAGTACCAATACTACTACATCAGATAATTCTACTATGAACAACAACAACACATCAACAGATAATTCCACAATTATCAGTGGTAATGATACTATTGTGGATAACACAACTATTAGTAATACCACAACTGGTAATTATACCTATGGTAATGATACATCTGGTAATTACACCTCTGGTAATGATACGATCATTGATAATAGTACAGTGATTAGTAATACCACAAATAATAATTACACTTCTGGTAATGACACTATCAATAATGGAACTGTTATTGGTAATGATACCATCATCACGAATGGAACTAGTAATTCCACAACCAATTCTACAGATCCAATCAATCCTGCCCCTAACAATGGTACTACACCTGATAATGGTACAATTGTCGTACCACCAACATATATGGAAGAAATTTTCACAGGAAAACGATCTATTATTGATACCTTTGATAGTATTAGTATTTATGCTATGGAGTTTAAATATATTCTGAAATTAAATCCTGTTAATGGTGGGAAAGACTTGTTTGGAGCAGCCATAAAGAGTGATCTTAAAGTCCGAGTTCACATGTATGGTAGAAATTCTGATTCTGAAGATTGGACAATGGTCAACAATGTTGATGATTCTGTATCTACTCACGAATTGATTTGTGCTCAAACTGGATATTTGTCTATTCTTCAATCTGGTGGTTGTTCAGCAATTACTCTCTTCCACTCTAGAGTTATTAGATATTCTAATTACAAGATGAATCTTACAATTTTGAATTTGGAAAATGTTTACCGTTCAGGCTTATTAGAAAATGCTATTGAGACTAGTTTGCAATCCAACAATCCACAATATTCCATGTACGAATTGGGCTTTAGAATGACCTTCTCTGTTTTGTCAATTTTGCATTGGATTGCTTTCCTTGTCGTTACTTTCTGGTCACAACAATTGAGAAATTGGCACACTGCCCAAAAGTGGTTAGTTGTCTTGTTGTTCTTACACTTCTGGTATCATGATCCATTATATCCAGCCATGATGTGGACAGGTTGGGAAGGTTTCCCAGTTGTTGACATTATTCTCTCAGTAACATTTGTTTATGGATTCTTGTTGTATCTCTTGATCTTCTTCCACTCTGTATTCAAGGCACCACAAGATAGAACATTTATGAACTTTTATTTGACCAAGATTATCATTGTTGGTATTGGCTACATTTTGACCTTAATTTTGATGATTTGGAGTAGAGTTTACAATGTTGCCAATCCATCCTCAGTTGACATTTCATCAGTTCCTGGTTATGCCTATTTACTTGCCGCTAATATTGTTTTCCTCGTTTTGTGGGGTATTGATTTGGCTTATTATATTTTCCGTGCTATGGGAGCTGTTGGTAAACTCAAAGCCAAGTACTCTTCCAGATTTAGAGTTGTTGGTAGTTTCAGTTTCATTGTTGCTGCCTGTTTCATTGGTTTAACAATTGCTGGCAATGGTTTCAGAACTGATGTTCAATCATTGACTTTCCTCTTATTACACGGAATTGTTTATGTCTATTTTGCCTCACTGTCATTCCTCTTAATGCCTGGCAAGAATGAAGAAAGAAAACCTGAACTGAGTGCATCAGCTAAAGAAATGGATGCAAATGATAAGAGTGACTTTACCAAACCTTCTTCAGCTAATCGTGTAGAAGATGACGACGAAGTTCAAATTACTGACGTTGTTTTGTCAAGAAATGACGAAGACTTTTAAATTATTTAACTAATAAACTTTTTAAACAACATATTAAAACTGAATCGGTTATTTACATTTTTGTTGTTTATTTGCCGAAATAATCAAAATTGAGTTATTGAAAACACTCGAATATTTGTTTTCAATAAGATTGAGAAATCCTAGAGAGCAACTTAGTTATCAAAATTGGACAATTCGTAAGCACAAATTGCAGAGAGTGATTGAATCTTTCTTGTGAACAAGGTTGAATAACCAAAGTTCTTGTTAATTAGGTTTTCAACTTGCTCGAAAGAAACTCCAACAGAACTCTTCTTATCTTTGAGAGGATCCCAAATGATAAACTCTTGTTGATTATCTATGAAATCTTCGCCACAAATGAAGGAGGCTTGTGGAGAATTGTCGGATTCATATTCATCCTCTTCTTCCTCTTCAGTATTGCTCTCATATGAATATTCGTCATCACTACTCATGGAAAGTTTTGAATTGGTTGATGGTGAAATGCACTGTGATTCATTCTCTTTATAATAGGAATCAACATCATATAATTGTTTTGGATTATCAAAATAACAAGTACTTGTAGAAGGTTGTGGTGCTTTAGGGAGTCCCAATGTTGTTGATGGAGAAAGACTCAAAGCACTTGTTGGTGTACATAATCGGTTTGAAGTATTTTGGCTAGATAATGTTTGATTACTATTAGATTTTGAATTGTTAATATCAATTGTTAATTGTTGTTTCATTTCTTGTTTAACCTTCTTTGAATTTGTTTCAAGAGTTGGTTTTCTTCTTCTCTTCTTATTTTCCTTACTATTACTGGATCCTGCACCTGGTTTCATAAGAATTGGTTCATAATGTTTGTTAGCAGCAGCAGTTAATGCAGCAGCTGGAATGTTTGAAGGTACCGATCCATTACTTGGTTGATTTCTGCAACAAGGACACAGATAACCATTTGGTTTAATTTCAAATCCATTCTGACGCTCACAATTTTGATGAACCCAACGATGACAACTATCACATCCAATCCATGGTTCTTCTTTATCATCAGCATCACTTTCCTTGTAAATTTGATTGCAATATATGCAAAAGTGTCCCTTCCTATTGATGATGATAATAGATGATCAGTAAATTAAAATTGATTGAATACATACTTGTAGTGCACTGTTCGGTTGGTTCAATGAAAATATTTAATTTTTCATGTCATCATATTTGGGTAATAATTAGGATGACAATTCGTTGGTATATAATAACTTACAACCACAGGCATTACATAACATGACTGGTTTACCTTCCTTTGTGGTCCAACCTTTACGCCACAATGGTGTTTGACTCGTTTTGCATTTAACGTTGCCACAAACAAGAGGATATTGTCTCATGTTTTTTCAATGTATATATACTCGATTTTGATTTCTTTCTCTCCTCCTTGAGAAGTAATATTACTAAAGCTATTAATAGAGAGAATGATGGAGAATATTAGAGATCAAGAGCCTATTTTACAAAGTGTGCTATTGATGATGTTGTTGTTATCTTGTTCAATATAACCGAGAATTGTTACTACTATTTGGTTAGTTAATCAAAATTATTCTAAGGAAAGAGAGTGGTGCTTTTCCTTGTCTTGTTGTGGTGATTTTTTTCTCAAAGGAAAATTCTGCATCTAAACAAAGGCGAGCACTGTACTACTACCAGCAGCTGAGAAGCACATTGTTGTAAATAATTTAATTGTTTTATGTACACACAATGCCAAATGAGTGAAAAGAGTGCGGCATCTCTGTCCTTCTGTGTGGCCCCACCCTCTTAGCACCAAACAAAAACCACAACGTGTTGGACCAGCGCGCTTTTTTCAGGTTCGGCAAATTCGCATGACTTTCCCCATTTGGTATCCTTGTCTGCCGAATCTTTGAATAATTGTTAATTCATCAAGGTAGAGTTGTCTCAATATGATAAGTGTAAGGTTACTTGATAATATGTTGGTGGTGATGAGAAGCGGAAGATTGAGTTGTTTTTCAAATTGAATATTGTGAGAATGCATTTGGTGATATTAACAAAGGAGAAATGACGTGCTTTATAATCTATCAATTGTACAGCTTCCAATTAAGGCCACGTTTATGTTTCACTTTCCTGAGCCTTCATGTAATCAAAAACTGATTAACACACATGATATGAGTTAGTTTACGCTTAGACTATGATCAACGGCGACCTATTGATGAACTTTTTGCATTAGTTTGTTATTAAGCTTGCTAATTAAGGTCATCCTAAAAGGTCGTTGTTGTAAATAGAGATATGATGCATTTATTTCTCCTCATAATCATTGGAGAAGAACGGAGGAAGGTTGTTAAATGCTCATGAATGAAAATATTGATATTGAAATAAAGAACCTTCTTTAAATACTTAATAGAACCTTCTTAAATTTATTTGCTGAAATGTTGATCAATAAGGCAAGGAGTTTGTTTTTATCAATGTGAGCAAAATCGTTCCTTTGTTTTCGCCGAATACAAGCGGTAAACAATGTACTTAAGCCTCCTTTTGGGTGAAGAAACTGTCTATTATAGGCACGTACCTGGCTAAAAAAGTATCTTCACTAAGAGAGTTCCTTATACAATGTTTAGGACCAAAAATTTCTATTCAGAGTTTGCTTAAATCCCCCAAAACACATTAAAACTCGCCAGAGGTCCAACAGCCTCTTTTAAAAGATAATAAACTCTCACAAGGAAATTGCAAGTTTCTCTCCTTTTTCAAATAAAATGTCTTCGATGGAACAAGGTCATCATAATCCACTCTTAAAACTACCACCTCAATTATCCCTTAGTAGCTCCTCCTCGAACAATAACACGTCTCAACAACAACATCAACAAGGTTCTTCATCCTCCTATCATCATCACCTCCAAAACAATAATAATACAAATAACAATATTAATAACAATCTCCATTTATCGAACATGAATAACACCAACAACTATACGAGTAATTCTAACAACGTAATGAATAATCTCCACTCTCCTCAAAACCACTACCAAAAGGCTTCCCAAAACATGATGAATAACATTCATCAACAACAAATGATCCATGCCTCGGTCTCGAATAAGGTTAATTTAGAAAATGATAGACTCTTCCAATCATATAATGATGAGTTAACTCCGCAACAACAATATCAATCCTTTGATTTCCATAATACCTTACCTACTACCTCTTTAAATAATGGAGGAGGATCTAATGCAAACACCAGTAATAACAATCCAAATAATACATTCCTCCAAAAGCAACCACAACAACAGAACTTTAATCAAATGATGGCATCTCCGACAAGAATGAATCAAACACAAGTGATGAATCAAATGAATCAAAAAGTTCCATCTAATGGAAATAACATGAACATGATGCTTAACAATAGCACCAACGGTAATGGCCAAAATAATACCAATTACCAATCTGCAACAATGGACAAGAACATACCCAATGGTTCGATGCAACATTCACATTCTCCAGACACTCAATTCTTCAATCAAGGAACATTCTCTCCACAAAAACCATCTCAACAAATGAACATGGATAACTTTAAGGTGAACCAGAATCAAATGGTTTACAACCAATCCCCTCAAAATAATCCACAACAATTATTCCAACAAAAACAAGTTCCTTTGGGAGATTTTACATCACATGTTAATAATATTCCTAATCAATCCAATTCGCCTCAAACAAATGTGAACATTACCAAAGAATCCCTCTATCAAT